AACCCAGCTTGTGCCATGCAATGTTTGACTCAATTAGACACCAGTTTCCTGGCTTTTTGTTGCGTTATTCCAATTGCTTTCATTAAAACATCTTAAATAATTGTCTTTGATGTCAACCTTGATAATAAATCTGTACAGGTCTCACCTTATTTTTTTCTTCAGACTTTAGAAAAGCCTATTTTTGAAAGTGTTATTGAATTTTAATATTTTTGTGTGTTTCCATTATTACTTGACCTAATTCTACATACATTAACATAATAGTGATATTAATAATGCTACTTCTAATGATAAATTAAACCTAATTAAAATTAGGTCTGTAACATCTTACGTGAATACTAATAGCTGATTAAAGACAATCAGTTTATGCTGATTTAAGTGCTAATGAGTACAGTATATCTTTAGAAAGCTGATATGAAGAGTTCAGATGCAAAAGCCTCTAAATCCCATTTGAAATTTTCTTCTTTAATGATGATTTTTTATCAAACTTGTATATTTAAGTTCAGTATTTCACTTAAATAACAATTAATAGGTAATTATCATTGCCATTTAAGTGAAATCACTGAACTTAAATATACAAGCTTGATCAAAATGATCATTCTAGAAGAAAATTTCAAATGGCACTTAGAGGCTTTTGCATCTGAACTCTTCATATAGTTATCATATCAGATGTGCTGTTAGAATCATTATGTTATCAAAGTCAAAACTCGTCACAGATTCTTTGCGTTGAGTGTTCCTGGCAGAGTTATTAACAGCACATTGACCAGCTGGGGCCTTTGGCCTGAGGATGTGAGCCTCTTTCAAGAGAATTGGCCACATGATAGAGGCTCACGGCTACAGACTCCTATAAGTGTCTTCTCGGAGTAAACGCAGCCCATCTGAATTCTGCCTGCCCACCAGAATCTTGCTGCATGATCTGCTCTCCCTTGAAGGCAATGAAAGGAAGCATCATCATTACATTTCAAGAGACACTGCTGTTAAAAGGACTCTCAGCAAAAGCAGCACATTAAAATTAAGATACAATGCATTTAGGCTTGAACTAACCTATCTTTTGAACATATTAAAGAATGCTGGTGAATTTGATTGATTTCTCATCAGCAATTTACAGGGTCAAGTAAAAACATTTAATTTCTATTATGCAACTGTGTTACTAAGCATATGGCTAGACAGTAACATAACACTGTTTTATTGGTTTGACTTTGCTCTCATCCTGGGAAAAAAAAACAGGGAATACGATCCATATGTGTCTCATCCCCTATAATTCACCTCAGTGTATGGACACTGGAATCACTACCAATGAAAGCCTTTCTCCTCAAAGTAGAGCCAGACTACAGTATATCCACTGCATACATATTTCCATGAAGTAAAAATACACTAAATTGGAAATGGTTGCTGGGAAGAATGAAGCCTGCTGATATCCTTAGCCATATACATTGGCAATGTTCTTCTTGCGATTATGGTGTTTTGAAAAATGACTGTCCTCTTAAAAAGGTTCGTCAGCCAGTGACGCCTGTTGTAAACACTATTATCCAGTGTGAATGGGTGACCCAGGACCGCTCTGTAGATTACATTTACAGAGGCAGCCTCGCTTTGAGTCATAAATCAATGAGGGCTTGAGATGCTAGACCACATACAGCTGCAGAGAAATACATCAGGCATTCAACAACATCATTCACCAGAAACAGCATATTACTTTTGATTTATGACATTAGAGCAACATTTTTTTATATCATATACAGCCCTAGTGAAAAAAAAACTATAACAAAATGTATTTAAAATTTCTTTTTATAATTAATCCATTAACATATTTACTGACATTAGTGATATGAAATTATAATAAAACTTTATTTGGAGTAGGCCTACCTATTTCTTTACACATTTCTTAATTAGGGCCCAAGCCCTGAAAGGGCGAAGGCCCTATTGTTTTCCTAAGGATTATTTATTATTAGGGCCCAAGCCCTGAAAGGGCGAAGGCCCTATTGTTTTCCTAACGATTTTTAGGCCCAAGCCCTGAAAGGGCGAAGGCCCTATTGTTTTCCTACGATTATTATTTTATTATTATTATTATTTTATTATTTACTACGACTATTCGGGCACTTTTGGGGCCCTTAACATGCTCAAAAACTCTTGAAACTTTGCACACGGGTCAGAACCCGCGGCCATCAGAGCCGGGCTGAAGATGGTACCCGGGCGTGGCAGGGGGCTCGTCAGCGCCCCCTGGAACGGGGTCCGAACACTTGGTCCATAACTCAAACACGCTTGTATGTAATAATATGAAACTCGGTACACATGTTGATCTCATCGTTTCATCTATACCTCGTGCTCTTACTTTTTACCCCAGCCCAACAGGAAGTCGGC